CGCTAGTAGCTGCGAAACATACGAGGCACCTGCCACCGACTCCCGGCTACATTTTTTTTTTTTTTTTTTGATGTATTTTCAGTAGAAACGGGGTTGTCACTGTGTTCACAGTTATGTCTCGATCTCCTTGTACTCGTGATCTGCCTGCCTTCAGCCTCCCATAGTGCCTGGGATTACAGGCCGTGAGCCAGCGGACCTGCCCATTGTGCTTTCATCTCAGGCCCCTCACGTGATTAAGGTTGCCTGTTGCTGTAAGGGCACCCAGCCAGGTCACCCTAATGTTCCAGAAATGCTAGTTTCCACACTTGCCCACCACCGATCTATCCATACCTCTGCTCCTGCTGTTTTTTCTTCGGCCTCAACATCTCTGTGCAGTCATTCAAGGCCCGTTTCCTGTATGCGTAGTAAAGCATGACATGCTCTCATCTCCACCATCCCTCCCTGTTCCCAACTCCACTTCCCCGATTCAGGATGCGAATCAATCTCTTGCCTCTTGAACTTTCAAATAATTTGTGTTTTCTCATGGTCTGAGGCATGGTCTATACACTTCCTAATGGCTTGATAGACCTGAACAGTTAAGGGAGGGATACTTGATGGGTCAGGAGTTCTGAGACTAGGCTGGCAACATGATGCAGACCCTGTTCTACCAAAAACACCGTATTTTTTAAAGAAAAGCAAAGCCCGGGATGGTGGTACAGCCCTGTATTCCAGGCTGTTCAGGCGAGGCTGGAGGCCAGGAGGACCACTATGAGACCCCAAGGGTGGAGGTTTTGGGTGAAAACTAAATTGTTACCACTTGCCCTCCGAAGTCTGGAGTGCAGAATTGAGACCCTGTGCTCTGGAAAAAAAAAAAAAAAAAAAAAAAAAAAGGTACTATATAAATTTCTTCTTTTTTTTAGTCCATAAATTTATTTCTTTTACAACAAAGAATTACTTTTTAAAATCTTTTTGTCATTTGTGTTTCATGCTTTATCTCCGCTACTAGCGTTCCTGGATGGCAAGATTTGTTTCGGATCCACGCTTGTTTCTAACCCCTACTGTGCACATATAGGTGCTCAGTAAATCTTAAGTATCATAAGAGAGATACTGAGAAAAGGTGAATTTCTAAGTACCCAAAAAGACTGCAGTGAAGCTCACTTATTCACTCATGTTTACATGCATAGCTTTTTTGAAAATATAAAATAAAACTCTATAGTTATGTCTGAAGAATGAAAATTTCATTTGAATTTGAGTGATGTAAACTTCATTGGAAATTCATAAAAGACATCAAATGGTTTCACTTCAGGCATGGAAGGAAAAGTAGAAGGCGTACAATGTTAGCTAAACTTAGCCAAACGAGCACCTCAGAGCCCTTTGTATTGCTATTGAAATTTCATTGGAGGTAGAGTATTCAGGGACATTTCTCCAATACACATTATCAAAGTCCCTGCTAAGGCAAAAGACTTTTAGAAAAGACCTTACCATTTATTTGACAGAATATTGTGTTTAACTCTATATATGGTTCCAATTATAGCAATTAGTAATTAACTAGTAATTAATGACAAAAAAAAACAGTATCTGACTTCAACCTGGAATTTCCTTTGCCTCTTTCCTGCTGAGATGATGAATCAGCTCTTATTCTACTAGATGACATTAACAGCAGTAATCTTTATGTTCATATTTTAGTTTCCTAGAGGTGTTGAGAAAAATAAGCCAGTATTCTACCCAAAACCTCCTAAAACCTTCGCTCCTAACACTTCTTTAAATTCATGGGACCCTATTTGCTCTGCCAAAGAAGCCAACATACAAAGAAATCTTGAGAGGTCCCACTGGCTCACTTCGTACACTCATGATTTTACAGGTATGAGTTCACTTTCATAACAAGTAAAAATTAGAACAAAATTGGAATATTTAACAAATGCTATGACAAGCTTTCAACTTCTCATATTTTTGCCGTTTTCTCAATCTAAGTATTTAAATCCTAAGTAATAGGAATTAAGGTGGGTGGTAAATTTCTCTTCATGGGTAGCTGGGAGGTAGGGTTGGTTTTCATTTTATTGGTTCTAATTATATTACAAAGGGAATGGGTAAGTTTTCCTATAAAGGGTAATATAACTGCCGTTCTTTGTTTACCCTAACAAAATAATAAGACGATGTTTCCATTAAGGTCTGGGGCCCATGGACCCCCTTGAACTGGATGATTACCATGAAAAGGTGGTAGCAGAGTTAACAGGACAGATAGGATTTGACCCAGAGCCTGTAAGTAATTACAGTCAACTCTCAGTTATTTGGGGGGAGAGTGCTGGGCTCTTTCTTGGTTTGCCACTTTTTGTGTCACGGGTTTTAGCAACCAAGTTAGCAAATGGAAATTTTTATTCATTTTAGAAGTGAATTCTGAGCTGATTGGAACTGGTTTGAATACTGTGTGTGCTGTTTGGGAAAACAAGCAAGATTTATTTTCTTGGGCTAGGCGCGGTGCCTCACACCTGTAATCCCAGCACTTTAGGAGGCTGAGGCGGACAGATCACGAGGTCAGGAGTTTGAGACCAGCCTGGCCAATATGGTGAAACCCTGTCTCTACTAAAAATACAAAAATTAACCAGGCATGGTGGCGCTCACCTCTACTCTCAGCTACTCAGGAGGCTGAGGCAGAAGAATCGCTTGAACCCGGGAGGCAGAGATTGCAGTGAGCCGAGATCGCGCCACTGCACTCCACCCTAGACGACAGAGTGAGACTTCATCTCAAAAAAAAAAAAAAAGATTTCTTTTCTTCTTCAGAGTGTTTTTGTTTTTTTTTTTTAAAACAGATTTTCTACTGTGCTACTGTTGCTGAAATAACTTACAAAAGAAGCAGTTTACAAAAGAATTTAATAATTTAATGAGATTCCTAGTAAATTCTGTAGATCTTTGCTTTTTTTTTTTTTTTCTTTTTTTTTTTGAGACAGAGTCTCACTCTGTCACCAGACTGGAGTACAGTGGCACAATATCAGCTCACTGCAACCTCCTCCTCCTGAGTTCAAGCAATTCTCGTGCCTCAGCCTCCAGAGTAGCTGGGATTACAGGTACGCAGCACCACACCCAGCTAATTTTTGTATTTGTAGTAGAGACGGAGTTTCACCATGTTCACCAGGATGGTCTCGATCTCCTGACCTCGTGATTCGCCCACTTCAGCCTCCCAAAGTGCTGGGATTACAGGCGTGAGCTACTGCGCCCAGCCCTTTGCATATTTATATATCTTGTACATTACCATGCTTTTGGAGAAATAAAGGCTTCCTCTTGCTATTCATAATAATTGAGAGCTGGCTGAATTACAATTAAAAGCCAATACATTCTCTGCAGATATCATAGAGACTTTTAAATTGATTATGCAAAATGGCCTGGAAGAAATAATCAAGCCCTTTAATGAGCAAAGGTGTCATCTGTTGGTTTAATTATGTAAATGAGATGAAATGACCTAATAGTTTGCATATGTGTTGTTTTATTTGAGACCTAAATTTTCTTCTCGACTACAAATTTTGAAAACAAAATTAACATTTTAAAGATACATAAATTGTGAAAAACACATGGAAAAACAACTGTAAGATTATTTCAATTTGAACACTTTAAAAACTGAGCTGGGTCAGGCTTGGTGGCTCATGCCTGTAATCCTAGCACTTTGGGAGGCCGAGGTGGGTGGATCACCTGAGGTCAGGAGTTCGAGACCAGCCTAGCCAACATGGTGAGACCCCCGTCTCTACTAAAAATACAAAAATTAGCCAGGCGTGGTGGCAGGCACCTGTAATCCCAGCTACTCCAGAGGCTGAGGCAGGAGAATCGCTTGAACCAGGGGAGGGGGCGGAGGTTGCAGCGAGCCAAGATCATGATGGGCGGGGAAAAAGAAAACAAAAAAACTGAGCTGAGGGCTGGGTGCCGTGGCTCACGCCTATAATCCCAGTGCTTTGGGAGACTCAGGCAGGTGGATCACCTGAGGTCAGGAGTTCAAGACCAGCCTGGCCAACATGGTAGAACTCTGTCTCTAGTAAAAATACAAAAATTCGTCAGGTGTGGTGGCGCATGCCTGTGGTCCCAGCTACTCAGGAGGCTAAGGCAGGAGAATCGCTTGAATCTGGGAGGCAGAGGTTGCTGTGAGCCAAGGTTGTGCCACCGCACTCCAGCCTGGGCAACAGTGTGAGACTCTGTCTCAAAATAAATTAATAAAAATAAAAACTGAACTGAACATACTTATTTTACATTACCTTCAGCATTTCCTAAGTTGATATAAAATCATAACACCAGGAGCAGGTTTATAGACTGTGCTGTATCATTCACTGAAGGGTTTTTAATGATTTTTATGTGGAATTTGCAACGAGCATTCTCTAAGGATAGAAAATATTATATGAGCACATATTGTCAGGTATGTTCAACAACTGTCCAGATTTCCAGAGATTCGACCCTGTATGGTATGTACAAAATACATATTCCATTATATACAGAATGTTTGCCAAATATATTATACGCAAAATCATTGTGCAAGCAAATCAACTCTTAAATATTTATGAATAACAAGATAAAATATACCTAAGATAATTGGAAGTTTAAAAGAAAGTTTTAGTGAATCTTGCTGGTTTCTGATTAAATCCTAAAGAATAGACCGGGAAAACATGTTTTAGTGGTAATAAAAATGTGTATGAAATGTTTTATTGTAGTAGTATAAAGTAAAAGCACTAAAAACTGCTTCTTGCATACAGGAATATATATGGTCAAAGTACTAATATGATAAGTCCTGTCCTTTTTTATGACAAATTTAACAAAGCACGTCAAAGAGTTGAAGTTTTTTCTTTTCATCGCAGTATTTACTCAAACTTGATTAGCTATAGGCTGTAACAAACTTGTTACCTCAATATGGAAATTTCTCTATGAACAGACTAGCTTTCAAATGGATGTTCCTAAGTCCGTTTTTTGAAGTCCAAGCTACCGTGATTATTTTCTCACTAGTCTCATTTGTATTATCTCTGCTGTCAATTCCATCATCATTATACATACATTCTTTGGTAGTTTTTTTACTTTAACATATTATTATAAAATGTTTGAACATACAGAAAAGTTAAAATAATTTTATAATTAACACCCATATACTCACCACCTAGATTCTACCACTAACATTTTTACTATGCTTGTTTTATCACATAATCTATCCATCTTTCCATCCCTCTAACCATCCATCATCCAGAAATAATTAAAATATTTTATGCATTTTAGATTAAATTGCAGACATTAGTATACTTCACTCCTAAACATTCAGCATGTATATTATCAGCCAGAGTTCAATATTTGTTTGCAGTTGTTTTTTCTTTTAAGGTGAAATAAAGTTCAATTGCACAAATCTTAAGTGTACATTCACTGAGTTTTAACAAATACACCTTTGTAACCCAAACCCCATCAAGATACAGAGTACTATCATTCCAGAAAGTTTCCTCCTCATACCCCTTCCCAGTCAGCTGCATCCTCTTCCCACCACCCAGCGTGTATCTATTAATAGCCCTTTAAATACACTCACTACTTTCGCAGTTACCAGACATAATTGAGTTCATAATATTTATAAAACGACTTAAAAAGAAGCACAGACATGACACCTCAGACCAGTGTTTCTCAAAACATAGCACATCTCCAGCCTCACCGTCACCTGAAATGCTTGTTGAAAATTCAGCTTCCTGTGGCCCACTACAGACCTTCTCACCCACAATCTTGGAGGGTCTTAGGAGCTTAGGAATTTCATTTCATGCCAGCTCTGAAGATGATTCTGATTCAGCCAAGGTTTAAGGGCACTTGCTAAGGCCTAATAAAGGAGACTTTAGCTAAGATTAAATAACTGCACATACTGCTAATGCCATCTGTTAGTGACGGACAGAAGTTTTATTCCAGTGATTCCTTTATATCTTTGAAGTTTAAAAGCAGAATTCCCACACAGAAAGAGTTCTGTATATCCAAATAAAACACATGCCCCTTTCATATTCACTAAAACCATTAAAGGAGGAAAATGTATTTGGACCCAAATTTCAATGTCTTTAAATTAATATCAAAGAGTGTTGCAATGTACACTCCTACACCCATCTCATGTGTACTCAGACAGTGAAAATGGGTATGACTTTTGACCTACTATTTATGGCAATATCCCTGATTAATTTTTTTCTCCTTTTTATCCCACAACTACAGCAAGAAAAATTCCATCCTGTCTTCAAACCTCCCAGACCATTGGAAGGACGAATTGCCCGATTAATTCAGAACCGGCGTTCTCTGGAGGCTATAGTCCAACAAAGACCACGTTCCTGTCCAGACTGTACTCCTAGAGTTTTGTGTAATTTTCATACCTTTGTACCCAGTTCTAAAGAAATGATGGCACTTAGTGATAACACACCAGCAGGTGTGACCCATAAAAACCAGGATATCGAAGAGAAGATTATAGAAGAACAGAGCTTGCTATCTACGTATGAACTCCCATCTTGTTACCCAACAAAAGATCTGACTAGCATTTATGACATAAAGCCATTTCCAAAAATCACAGATACTAAAAAGACAGAAGATTTATACTGGAGACAGCAGTCACTGAAAACCCAACCCACACCTTACTGTAAACCAAACCACTGGATTCACTACGAAAATCTTAAATCTCCCCTGCGTGATCAGTATAATATGTATCCAAACCTTGTTAGCCTTAGTAAACCTAGTGTTTTACAAAATAAACAAGACACGGAAGCTTTCACTTTAGAACATTTTTTAAGTAAGCCAGAAGAAGAGTTGGTTTTGAACATGGAAAACAATGAAGAAACAAGACCTATTCTTGGTTGGATTCCTAGAGCTGGAGTGACCAAGCCTCAGACCAACCTGCTGGAGCTTAAGAACTCTTTTTCAAAAACTGGTGCACAAAAGCGTTTCCATAAATCAATTCTAGAAGACCATAAAGACCTCAGGGATAATGAGCATTCAGGGTTGAAGCACCAATTCTATGGCCATAATTCCTATTATTTCTATAACTGAGATACTCATTCTTCCCTTCAAAACCCAGCCTCTTGCAAGAAGCTAAAAAATATAACAGAATTTCCTTCATATTGCTGGATTTTGTTTTCTAGATTAAGCCACAAGGACCTTGTTAATGAAGTTTATGCTTTCAGGAATTTAAGTTAGTATCTGGTTGGAGGACCCCAGAAAAGGTGATGTTCTGACTTCTTGAAAAGTTTAACAATTTGGCAATAAAATATTAGAACTAGAAAAATGTATAGTCTTTAACCTCTCATCTTCAGATTATACTCTAAGGAAATTTTCCAAAATCGCAAAAAGCAATGTGTACAACAAAGTTTACATCGTTTCACCAAAAAAAAACTGAAAAGCTGGAAATAACTCAAATGATCAATAATTAATGACTATACAAATTATAATATCTTAATAAAATAAATATGAGAACACTGTCCCTTTATGTAAATTTTTGTACATAGTAGCGTTAGATAGAAAAGACAAAACTCAAACACCCAGTTAATTGAGGGATGGACAGCTCTACAAACTACATTGTCTTAAAAGTATGTGGACTCTGTTCCTTTATGTAAACATATAAAGAAAATAAGTCAGCGAAAAAAATGAAACCCAAAACTCTCCGCATGTACACATTACAAATTGAATTGTTTCCTTACTCTTAACCTTCTGACTAAGAAACATAACTATTTCTTTTATGCAGATAAAATTATTTTACTGAAGATCTAGCAATGGCTTTAATTAGCAGCTGGTGAGTTGTAATTATAGCAAGAAAGGAAGGCTTGATATCAGTTATTACAGAGCGCCAAATCTTCATTTCTGGAGTGTGTTCTCTAAGAGTTTGGCTAACTCCCATATGCAAGTCAATTCATTTAATGTGCCAAGAGGTAGATTTTAAACATAGTCTATCATGGAAGTTCAAGAGGAATTTCTTTAAGTATTTTGTGAATATTTATTTTAATTTTACGATCAACATGTCATTTGGTTATAATCTCCTTAAAACTATTCTAAAGTTGGAGAATTTTGTTCCAACTGCATTCTGTACAGCACTAGTTACATTAAGTGTCACAGGAAGTAAAGGTTTATGTGGTGAAATAACACTGGGGAAATCGGATCAACAATGTCAGTTGCATGACTTGGTCACTGGGTTCTCTACAGCCTTTAATATGTAATGCAATTGGGAGTGTCTGACGTGAGGGAGATAAAGATAGTGTACACACTTTTTATCACAGAGTAGATCACTGGACTGGAATTCCAAGTAATAAACTTTGGAAGATGTAACTCTCCGGTATAAAAATTTGAGGTTTTGATTGCACTCCTTGAGTTTTGTGTAATGTTCATACCTTTGTACCCAGTTTCCCTGGGTTGCATGGAAATTAGTTAGAAATTACATTCTAAATACAGTGTTCACTCTGCCTGCCTCTCTGCAAGGGTGGCGCAAGGAGCCTTCTCCTTAGACATTGTCATAGTCATCCTCCTCAACTAAGAGGAGGTCAGCCTTTCCTTTAACTCTGCTGATTGTTAAAGCTAATGAATCTGCCCTTATTTGATGACAGAGAATACCAAACTCCAAGCATCAAAAGCTCATCAAAAGCTCAATTTTTTTGTTTTTTGTTTTGTGTTCTTTACAAAATGTGTTAGTTTACTGACTCTTTTGTTTTTTATTTTTATTTTTTTTGTTTTTGTTTTTGTTTTGTTTTTGTTTTTGTTTTGAGTCGGAGTCTCACACTGTTGTCGCCTAGGCTGGAGTGCAATGGCACAATCTCAGCTCACTGCAACTGCCGCCTCCTGGGTTCAAGCAATTCTCCTGCCTCAGTCTCCCAAGTAGCTGGCATTACAGGCACCTGCCACCACGCCTGGCTAATTTTTTGTATTTTTAGTAGAGAAGGGGTTTCACTATGTTGGCCAGGCTGGTCTAGAACTCCTGACCTCGTGATCCACCTGCCTCAACCTCCCAAAGTGCTGGGATTACAGCGTTAGCCACCATGCCCAGCCTACTAATTCTTATTTTTGTCCTACATTGGCAACCTCTTTAATATCCAGAGATTAGGTATTATAAAATTAAGACTGGCTTGTCTAGTACATGCACAATATATACAGTATGGAAAAGTTAAATCAAATGAACATAATGTATAGAGCAATGGATAAGCTGAAATGTTCTAGTACACATTAGCAAAACACCTTTTGTAATTTCCTCCCTCCTCCCTCAACCCCTCAACCCAGTGAATGATACAGAGAGTACACTGTTCACAGAGGTGGTATAACAATTCTATTATACTTCCAAACACAGTATTCTCCATTAATTTTTTAAAGCTATTTACAAGAAGTGTTATTCTACTACTTCTGCTTTTAAAACATCAGGCACATCCGAATATCTTCAAAGACTAGCTATTTCATATCAGAACATGTCTACTATATACACAGCAGTTAAATTACACACGTTACAAAGGTCACAATCTGAGAGATCTTCTAAATATGACCACTTTGGCCTTGAACCATTTCATCCTCACTTCCTTCTCTCTGCCTTCAATCCAGTGGACAAACATAAGCATGTGTAATGCTTAGAGATGGTTGAACAAATTCATATCCAGAAGTCATTTACAGAAGACAAGCTTGCCTATTAATTTCAACACAAAGTGTACAAAATGTGCTAATTCTACTAAGTATTTTGCATACACTGGCAACCTCTTTAACATCTAGAGACTGGATGTTGCAAAATTAGGACTCATTTGTCTATTATATACACTATATATACAGCAAAACAAAATGCACAAAACATACAGAAAAAAACAGCTCCTGAAAATATCCAAGTATGAACACACTAGCATATTACTTTTTGCAATTCCTTCCCTCCTACCTCCTCAAAACCACTGAGCAGGTATAGACAATACTACACTGCTCACAGAAGTGCTGTAACAATTCCATTTCCAAAAGCCAATATTTCCTACGAATTTTAGCAAAAAGTGATATTTTACTACCTCTACATTTAACATACATAAGGAGTTAATTTGTCCACTATGTGTACAGCAGTCTTGAATAAATTGCACACATGTAGGAGTAGTTATAATTTGAAAGAGCCTTTTAAAATATGAACATTCTGGCCTAGAACACTTCCCATCTCCATCAACTCAGTGGTCAGTAATGCTCAAATTTTCAGAAGGCAATCCTCTCTGGAAATTTTAAAACAAAATATATAAAACATACTCGTTTACTAACCCTACTTTTGTCATACACAAGCGACCTCTTTAACATTTAGAAAGACTAGATGTTGTAAATTAGATATTGTTTATCCTTTATATACACAGATAAGTACAATAAAATGCATAGAAGTAAGGAACAATGATTAATCTTGCCTCACTGTGGACACCAGCATAGAGCTCTTTGCACTTCCTTTTCCTCTCTTCTGGCCTGAAACAGTGCACAAACACAGTGTGTACTACTCAAGAGGTGGTTTGGCCATTCTCCCCCCAAACATTTCATAGGGAATTTTAACGAAAAGATATTTACAGAATATATTATTTTACAACCTCTACTTTTAACATATGTATTAGGCACTGAATACCTACAAAGCCTAGATATTTCAAAAAAGTACTTAGCATTGTCAGTAACATATACAGTAGTGAGGAATAAAATTCACACGATGACAATGGTTATACTGAGAGACAGAACTAGCTAGATTTCCTAGGCCGACTAAAAATCCCTAAGCTTAGCTGGGAGGGTGACCGCTTCCACCTTTAAACACAGGGCTTGCAACTTAGCTCACACCTGACCAATCAGATAGTAAAGAGAACTCACTAAATTGCTAATTAGGCAAAAACAGGAGGTAAAGAAATAGCCAATCATCTGTTGCATGAGAGCACAGCGGGAGGGACAATGATTGGGATATAAATGATTGGGATATAAAACCAGGCAACGGCTCCCCTCTTTGGGTCCCCTCCCTTTGTATGGCAGCTCTGTTTTCACTCTATTTCACTCTGTTAACTCTTGCAACTGCACTCTTCTGGTCCGTGTTTGTTACCGCTCGAGCTGAGCTTTCACTCGTCCACCACTGCTGTTTGCTGCCGTCGCAAACCCACCGCTGACTTCCATCCCTCCGGATCCAGCAGGATGGCAGGGTGTCAGCTGTGCTCCTGATCCAGCGAGGCCCCCATTGCCATTCCTGATCGGGCCAAAGGCTTGCCATTGTTCCTGCATGGCTAAGTGCCTGGGTTCGTCCTAATCGAGCTGAACACTAGTCACTGGGTTCCATGGTTCTCTTCTGTGACCCACGATTTCTAATAGAGCTATAACACTCACCACATGGCCCAACATTCCATTCCTTGGAATCCGTGAGGCCAAGAATCCCAGGTCAGAGAACACAAGGCTTGCCACCATCTTAGAACTGGCCACCGCCATTTTGGAAGCAGCCCACCACCATCTTGGAAGCTCTGGGAGCAAGGACCCCCCAGTAACAATAATATGAAGTGTTTTCTAAATATGACCAGTGTGGCATAGAACCTTCTTCTCTTCCTTCTCAAGTCTTCCACCTCCATGTCCTCTAACCCAGCAGTCCACAACCTTTCTGGCACCAGGAAGTTTCATGGAGGGCAATTTTTCCATGGATGGGACATGGGGGATGATGATTTCAGGATGATTCAAGTGCATTACATTTATTGTGTACTTTATTTCTATTATTATTACATTATAATATATAGTGAAATCATTATACAACTCACCACAGTGTAGAATCAGTGGGAGCCCTGAGCTTGTTTTCCTGCATCTAGACGGTCCTATGTGGGGGTGATGGGAGATGGTGGCAGATCATCAGGCATTAGATTCTCATAAGGAGCATGCAACCTAGATCCCTTGCAAGTGCGGTTCACAATAGGGTTCAAGTTCCTATGAGAATCTAATGCCACCATTGATCTGACAGAAGGCGGAACTCAGGCAGTAATGTGCATAAAGGGGAAAGGCTGTAAATACAGATGAAACTTCGTTTGCTCACCCCCACTCACCTGCTTCTTTGTGGCCCTGTTCCTAACAGACCACAGAGCAGGGATTGAGGGCCCCTGCTCTAACCCACTGAACATATATGGATGTGTGTTGCTCCAAGTGTCACCAAAACTGCATTTGCAAAAATGATGAAAGTCAAATAAATCTGACATAGCTATTTCCATCTTGCTTCTAACCTCACAAGCTGTGTGTTCATTCCTGGGCATAGGCCAAGCTAACTATGGGAGGAATTTATAGTTTAACTGTAAGGCAAAGATAATAATAGCTCCTCCCTTCCCAAAACTAACTCCCTGCTTGTTCAGGAACCAAAAACCACCCTTGAAAACTAATGAAAGGTCACAAGGTTAGGATTATGGGAGGGTCCTGAATTGCTAAGAAGTAGGTATAGTTAAGTGATAACCTGCTGGGCATGGTGGCTCACACCTATAATCCCAGCACTTTGGGAGGCTAAGGTGGGCAGAACACCTGTGGCTGGGAGTTCGAGAGCAGCCTGACCGACATGAAGGAACCCTGTCTCTACTAAAAATACAAAATCAGCTGGGCATGTAGCTCATGCCTGTAATCCCAGCTACTTGGGAGACTGAGGCAGGAGAATCTCTTGAACCTGGGAGGCAGAGGTTGCAGTGAGCCAAGATTGGACCTTGGGCAACAAGAGCGAAACTCCATCTCAAAAAAAAAAAAGAAGAAGAAGAAGTGATAACTAGCCACTGTCCCCTGTCCCCCAGCTTGCTTTTCATTTTTTTAGATGCAGAGTCTTGCTCTGTCGCCCAGGTTGGAGTGCAGTGCAACCTCCACCTCCCAGGTTCAAGTGATTCTCCTGCCTCAGCTTCCCAAGTAGCTGGGATTACAGACATGCACCATCACACTGGGGTAATTTTTTATATTTTTTGCAGAGACAGGGTTTCACCATGTTGGCCAGGCTGGTCTCGAACTCCTGACATCAAGTGATGTCAGGCCTCGGCCTCCCAAAGTGTTGGGATTACAGGCATGAGCCACCGCACCGGGCCACCAAACTATCCTTGAAAAACCCTAGCTTCCATTTTCTTAGGGAGGCAGATTTGAAAATCATCTCCCATCCTTCTGCTTGGCTGGCCCTCTGATAACTAAACTCTTTCTCTGCTCCAAAAACTGTTGCTCTCAATGCATTGGCATTTCTAGGCAGCGGGCAAGAAGAACCCATTGGGCTGTTACACCACTTCCAGTGACAGTCTAATAACTCCTCTCTAAAAAGTCATTTTGGTGGAGAGGTGGGGCAAGATGGCCAAATGGAAACCTCCAAGAATTGCCCCCGACATAGGAACAACAAATTG